TATTGCACTGTTATCACAGATTATTCATTAATTAAGGATGAAACACATACACCATCTTGTAATTCCAGAGCTATGGTGTTTAACTTACTCGTAAATTCTTATCTCCTTATTATAGTGGCAGTACAGCTTTCTTCACAAAATACTGTGAGGAAAACATGGAGGTCAATTTCACTACAGTCCTAACAATAAAGTCTGATTTTGCAGAGAATTTTTTAATGCTAGTATTTACATGGTGAGTATCTGGACAAGACCACTCCTAAAGCTCATCCCATTGTTTCTGTACTGCCACTATATTAATGATAGAAATAAAACAGATAAAAAATTTTTTTGCACAACAATTCAGTATTGTGAATGTGAGTGCACTGAGGATAAATGGTTTCAATTTGTTTCTTTCATATTTATTACCCGAATGGTACATACTGAGAAATGTACCTTTCTAATATTTGTTGGATGTTCCAATGTGGCTTAGTAGAGAATTAAAACAAGAGATTGATTTGTCCGATTTAAATGCTTTAAAAATAAGAAAAGGGAATTTAGAGGCATCCTGGTTAAAGTGGTTAAATGAGAACTAGAAAAAATAATTTGGGGTTGTTTTTGCATTCATTGTGTATGTACACTGGAAACAGAGATGGGTCTGTTAGTTATTTAAAATTTCTGCCCTTTCCTGGTCTTCATTAGCTATTTTCCTTCAGTATATATTAATGAAGATCCTATGGCAAGAGATTGCTACAGAAAACTTTCAGATATAATTTGCATAACTTGTGATTGGATGACTTGAGACAAGGTGCTACAGCTGTTAAAGAAAATTAATGTAAATAAAGCTCCAGGGCCTGACTGTATTCACCCATGAGTACTTAGGTAGCTAAGTGGGGAACTAAAAGAATCTTGAAAGATTAAATACAGAGGTTCACTTGTTTCAGGTGTTGCACCGGAGGATTGGAGGAAGGCAGATGTCGTTCCTATATTTAAAAAAGGGTTTAAAATCCTTGCCTGAAAATTATAGACCTGTGAGCTTAACTTCTTTGGCTGTAAAAGTATTTGAAAGGTTATTAAGGAAGAATATTCAGGAATTCATTGGGAAAAACTTTATTAGCATTAAGCCCTTAGTAATATTGCATAATAACTGTCACATCTTACTGTTTAGGTGAAGAATTTACGCTCCAGTGTGTCTCGTGTTGCAATTGCGTGCTTGGGGGACATGTTTACCCACCTGAAGAAGAACATGGATCACGAACTCGAGAACGGTGTTAGGGTTCTTTTACGCAAAGCCGGAGAATCAAATGTTTTTATCCGAGAGGACGTAGATAAAGCCCTGGATGCCATGGTGCAAAGTGTTACTCCAGTACGCGCCCTTGTAGCTCTTTTAAATGGAGGACTCAGGTGAGTTATAAAATATACAAGTAGTGATGGAGTTTGCTATTTCAGAACGCAAATCTGGAATGTCCGTTTTTGATATTCAGTTCTATGGAATACAAAGGATAATGTACATTCTATTAAATTCTTTTATAACAAGTACTGTAGAAGTCTTTAAGGACCAAACTTCTGGAATAAAAGGGAATCATGACATTTCACACATGTCATGTGTCCTTAAGGGGTTAATATTTACCATTCATACAAATTTAAACATCTAAGTTAGATAAGAGATGACTTAAGCTAATGAAACTATTTTCATTAAAGAGAATGTTAGTTGGAATTACAAAATTGAATTTGATTAAATGTGCATATCCAACTATTACAATTGTGTATTGCTACTGTAAGAGAGTAAGAAAATGGGTCGCAAGAGGATAATACTGAGAACAGGCAGCAGCTGAAATAGCCTGCCCTTCGGTGGGTCCCCGCTCAGTTCTCAAGCTGGTTTTAGCTCATCTTGTGCCATTACAGAGAGAACATTATATAAATATAATTATACAATTATATATAGTAAAAGAACAAATATTTTAGGTAATACACCATGTTGGAGAATGGATAAAAATAGGTTCATCTCCAACTTGAACGTTTGGGTGGAACACTGACCTAGGGATATAATGTTGGTAGTGTAGTATAACCCCCCTCCCCCCCAACCACAACAGACCCTCTAGTTTCTAGGGTTTGTCTAGTGCGTATTTCCGTGTACATCAGACTTAAACCAACACCCTACCACTACTGAAATTTTACTAATGATACAACAAACAGTAACAACAGATCGCTGCTGCAATAACCCAATTATGATATGTTCATTCTCAATTACTTGTGAATATATGCTGTCATTCATTATTAATATTGTTAAGTTTGAAGCATTTTGTACTATGTTATATCTACTCACCTGGATGTAATCTTACATTCTTTATTGCACTAAGGCAAATGAAAGGTTTTTTTTCACTGTACGAACAATGATGTTGAATTCTCTGCCTGAAGAAGTGGTTTTATCAGAGTCTGTACAGATGTTCAAACCGCTATTAGATGCATACTTGCAAAAACAGAATATTCAGTGTAGGGTAATAACTTTCTGGGATCAAGAAGGTTTTTTTTTCTAGTTTGTTGCAAAATTGGAATTGTTTCAAACTGGGTTTTTCTTTTAGGGTTATGTGCTTTAAAACTAATATCTAAAACTAAATAACTAGGCACATCTGCATTTATAACACAAAATTGTGTTAACATTGGACTTTAAAATAAAACAATCACGATCTATCCTAATAAAGTCCTCATTTTCCCACAGCCATTTGAACAATGCCGTTAAAAGGTGCACTGCCCAGCATATGTGTGATTTGGTGGAGCGCATGGGACCAGGACGCATGTTATCTGGTATAAAGGACATTACAGATCGTGCTCTACCAGCTATAGCCAAGTTTGCTCAGGATGGAGCCCAGGAGACCAGGTTGGTTGCCAGCTGAGAATTTCTGCAATTTACAAAACCTTACAATCTGCTTCTCCCTCTGATATTTGTAGTTTCCCTGCAGGTTTTTTGGACGAAAGATGCTTAATTTCCTCATGTCACATCCTGACTTTGACAAAATGTTGGAGAAGTACATTCCCACCAAGGACTTGCCATACCTGAGGGATTTAATCAGAAACATACAACAGAAGGTAGAGGAACTATAATACAATGCATAGATTTCCTGTGATATTTAAATACATGGTCACACACAGCACTCTCTGTTATCCATTTACTGCACTTGGATGCAACATAGCTAAAACACAAATCCTGATCTGTGTTTATTGGTTTTTGATGTTCAGGGAGTTGGCGAGATCCACGATACACCATCCGCCCGGGGAAGACGATCCTATCACGGTAGTGTTAGCAGCCTCAGAGCGGCAGCCTTGTCTTGTACTGCTCGTGCCTGAGCACAAAAGGTAGGAAAGTTTATGATCCGATCACAAATACACAGCTAAGGGTGACAGCTTGGATGACTGCCGTTTCATATGTTTCTACAATGCTTGGATAATGTGTAATACTTTGTCATCCAAGCATTGTTCAGATGAGTTAAAAATAACTACACCAATGATGGCTGTTTATTTACAAATATTTTAACATTTGTTTTGTGCATAGTGATAGATGATGTGAATTTTGCATGTCAAGGACTAAAACAAATGTGACTACTTTTTATTTTTGTAAATGGTTTTTCTGATGCATATCATTTTCTCCTTTTTCCTTAGAGGGACCTGGTATGGCTTTCAACTATGAAGACCTTCCATTCTATTCCTTTGTAGATGTCTATGAACATGCTTATCAGGGGACGTTCTAAATTAAATTACGCAAGATATGCTGGAGTTGATTTAATGCATTAAACAACAGAAAAGGATTATCCCCCTGGTAAATGCACATTGTTTCAGTTAAATTTGAAAAATGTACAAAAATCATACCAATTAGTGGTGTGGCAGAGATGGAGAAAAACTGCGTATGTTCAGACTTTTCACGGTACATGACACAAAGGCTTATGCTATAGGGGTCCTTTACAAATGTGTATTCCTATTTTAAAATCTTTGTAACCTTGTCACCATGCACCTGTTGTCAAGGGCCCTATAGCATTATTTAGTAACAAAGGTGAGTTTACTTCTCTTTTCTACTTCTGTGTGCAACTCCTCCTCTTTAACCCTGCACTTTGTTACACTGATCATTGCGATAATGTAGTATATATTGCTTCCTATTGTATTGGCTGTATTGTTTTAAAGGGACACTGCATGCAAGGCAAAGTGCAGAGTCACTTCCACTGAAATAATTAGTGGCTATATGCACCCAGACCACGTCACTATCTAAGCACCGTTGTACCTGCAGTCTCTCTTAAATGCCACAACAAAGAGACTCTTTTCACACAATTGTAAACCCTGCCTGTCCTTCAGCCACTAGACGTGACTTGAGGTGTTCTTGCAGCTACCCACTAGAGACTAGCATTGTGTATAAAGACACCAAAAGTTGAAAGCCCTAACTCAGTGCACATCTATGATTAGCAAGATTGGAGCAGTGCTAGCTGGGGAGGGGAGGAATATAACATGTTGTAAAACAGACAAACCTATTCTATAGACAACATACTTATTTCAACTTAAGTTGAAGTTAAAGTATTTCTCTTGTCTCTCATTCCGCCCTACCCAGAAACCCTCATATTGATTCTATTGGTGTGACTTTAGCCACAGATAATCCATAATTAGCAGGCATAGCAACTAATCATTCATTCATAAACATTGCTTTACTAATTTGAAATGGTCACCAGCAAAACTAGGATTTTACAGGAGTCTTCATTTCAATCTCTGGCTACAATATTTTTATATATATTACACACAGCAATGTAAAATATATATATATATATATATAATCACTATCTGTAGATCACCTGTTTTGTGTGTGCGGATTTAATCACTGAGTGGATATCTATCATGTCCGTGTATGTTGGACAAGTGGACTATATAAATATATATATATATATATATATATATATATATATATATATATATATAATCTTCCCTGCTTAGGGAATGATATAGACACATTTGTGTAATTAATTATGAATATATATATATATATATATATATACACACACACACACACACACACACACACACACACACACACCCAAGGATTGACTATATGTTTATAGCTTTCCTACTGCTGTGTTGGAGGCTTTACCCTGAAATTGTAAAATTGTAAAAACATAACTGCTGTCCCTTCTTATTTCCTTGTATTTTAATTTGTCTCCCAAAGGGTGCCTGTTATGCGGAGTATCATCCCATCCCTGATAATGGGCAGAACCAATAGTTGATTTATGCATAACTGAAAGTGGTTGGAAACCAATCACTTAATTGGATGGGCTCTGGTCTAATAAATTTATAATTTTCCATTGTTATTCTTGCACTTTTGGCAGTCTGCATAAATGGAGTTTCAATTCTCTAGATTGCTCATCATAATAAATTATTTATGACATTGATGTGAAACTTGGCAAAGAAATACCATAGTAATCACTAAAATTAGCTCTCCATGTAGGGGGATGTCAATCTAAATTTGTGATCTTTCCATAAATGTGTTTATGGTATTTAACACCCCAGTATCTATAAAAAGGAATGACTCCCCCACTGTGCAAAGCATGTTCCACAAGAACAATTAATTCTGGTGTTACATGGTGTTCAACTCGCGGTCTGCTTTTAAATTCTTGAATTTATAATTTATAGGTCCTAAAAATGAACATTTTCTGTGGAGCACTGCTTAGTTAAGTTCAACTAAGCAAACGTGTCAAAATCAAATATATTTTAACTCTACTACAAATACTGTCTAACACAACTCCTGTTACAAATAATTGTCTGCAAATGTTGAATACAGGGGACTAAAGACAAGTCCTCAAATAGGAGGACAGATGTTCAGCCTTAACATATTATGAATTTATATTAGGATATATCTGTAACTATTTTATAGTACTTGCTAGAAGCAGATAAGTCCTGTGAGTTTATTATATTAAATCAATGTGCTCTACATCTGTGCTGCTCTCCAATGAAATATTTGGCATATTCAAGTCATTTCATTTCCATTAAGTTAATGTGTTAGCTTGCTGTAGTAGTTATTCAACATTGCAGTATCCGTATATTGTCGTGTAAATAGATTTGTTTACATAATGTCATGTCATTATCATAGAATCAGGCTGCACTGATATTATTCCAAGCGATTCCTAGCACTCTATCATTTGTAAACGTCAAACCAAATTATGAGATTTCTTTTTCAATTATTTTAGAGATTTTCTATATTTAAATAAGGTGCTTTACTTTTGGTTGACAGGTTTATTTAATGTGTCATATGCAGGCAGTGTAGTGCTTTATTACATAACGCAAAAAAGATAAACTAAATTTAACAGTCTATTCATATTTAAATGGTTGTTAGGGATTTGGGCTAGAGCGCAGGTAATTCTGAGGTTACTAAATAAATAGATGTAAGCCCACCTGCCAAGAGCACCTATTGCCATTGTTTCTGCCATGCATAGTGAAGGCTTTCAGAGTGGAGCTAAACTTAGGAGAAGTCTTTACCTGCAGCCAGTGCAGCTCAATATACATTTATCCATAGGTCTTAATCAATACAAAGAAAAAAGGTGCTCTCCCCTCCAGCTTACTAAATCTGGTTTCATTGTGTCTGCACAGGCTGTATGACACTCTTATTTGCAAACTTGGAATTTGGTTTATTCTATCCTAGCCACACTACCCCAGTCAGAAAAAGTCTCAACAGACTGTATTTTAATTCCTAAACGTCAGCGAATTGAATGTATAGATCATGCCCCTGCAATCTCAAAGCAATTATAATTTGAATTCAGTTAATGCTCAATTTTTATAATTTTACATACAATGTGTAAATTACATAGTGTAACGATTTGTCTAGCTCATTTAAAATGCCAATGAAATATTTTAGCATTAACCATTTTACACAATGTATATCTAATATACTGTGATTAATGCGTAAAGGAGATGATGGGGCTGCTCAGCCTGATAACATTTTCTGAAAAGATAACACACTATCAAGTTAGTGTGAAACTGCAGCAGCAAGCAAGTTAGTAAAGTTGGTACTCTGCTTATCATAGCAGCACTTTATTCTTGAAATATTGGTCTGTTCAGATAAAACCTTTTACAGTAATCAGAGGCAATATGTACTTCTTATCCAAGTCCCAATGGTTTTGTTTTCAAATCTAGTTACTATTTATATAGAGATTTTAAATATCCTGCACATCCGCTAATGAGAAAAAATGATTAATGATCAGGGTGTATGACAAACTGTATAGTTGCACAACAAAAATAATGATGGCTGAATTAGGGTACTATATGGGGGTATACGTTTCAGTGGCCATCTATTGTATGAAATGATCAATTAAAGATTTATTAAAGACTGTCCTCTATCCAACAGCATGCTTATTGGACAGAATTGCAGAATGTGAATCAATGTATATGTACAGAGATAATGTACCATTTTCATATGGTGATATTTGTATGTATATAAAAATATATATTTGGGTATTGAATAGTATTTGTGGAATTCTTTAAGTGATGATTTTCAGTGTCTGAATGCTTCATACTTATTTTTTAATATATTTTTTTAATTCACCCTCCTAAACCATTGCAGATGTATATGATTTGTGGGCCTGGGCCATAGTACTATGTCAATTTTTTTTCTTTTTTTATCTAACATTATATTTTATTTTTTTACTTTGTTTCAATTGTGGGATTGTTGTTTAGCCCACATGGCCTAATTCTGAATACACAATGTCACTTAAGATGTATGTTCTACCTACATATATTTTTAATGATCTATATTAATAAAGAATATTTTTTGGATGTAAAAATATTTCAAATGCATTTTGGTTATTTAATGTTTGAGTCATCACTTGCAATGAAGAAGGGGTAAGTCTCTACATGTTTAATGACAAATCTTTCAATCTGAGGTGTAAAAATGTATTTTGTAATCTCTTTCCCAAGTAAACATAGAAAATATCAAACAAATATGTGATTTAAATATGACATAGCAAATTGATCAATCTGAAATGGTTCTCTTTTTGCTGGGATCTAATTTAGACTAAATCTGATTCACTTGACGTTTTCTGAAAGGGCACGTATGAACATTATCTTTTAAGTGATTTGCTCAAAATGAAAATCTTTCACGTGTGGGGCTAAGTTTAATTGTATGACTAGGGTGTTAAATTAAAGGGACTTAGGAGCTGCTCTAGACCAATTTCCATCTTGAACTAGGTCAGGGATATTCACATTTTGTTATACGGAAAATACAAATCAGACGTAATAAAATCAAATACACTCCAAATAATTTATTATGGACTATTTACTTGGACATTTTAATATAATGTTGGTTGACAGAAACATATTGTCTAATGATTTTATTGTAATTTGGTCTTTGAGATGGAGGAAGCCATATTTTGTTATTAATGAAATTTCAGTTATTGGACACAATCAATGGTTTGACATGTAGGTGATTAAAATTCTTCCACATTCAATTGCATTTGACACTACAGTCACACCACTAATGCTGCAGTCACCATCACTGGGCATGGAAGACAATGTGTGGGTTCCTAGATTCAGTTTATGTTTAGGTCCCCCGGTGCCCACTATTGGTGCAGGGTATGTTTAATGTATTGCTTGTCTCTGCCTCTCCCCCTTTTTCCAGTCCTATTGTTTCCAAGCTGGGCGTTTGATGAGGGACAGGGCAGTTTGAACTGGTCTGGCAGGGTCCCTGGGACGCTAATCTACCATCAGCCCTTGCTATTGTCTGACCCCACCCTTCCTTATATTACAGTACTCTAAGACAAGCACCCTTATTTATAGCCCTGGACACTTGGAGGCTATAAACACATTCCTGATGGAAAGGAATATAAACACTAGGGGTCTTTACCACCCTGGACCAGGCTACTGTGATCTCAGTCAAGCCTTAGGGACCTTGGAGCACTTCATACCCAGTCACAGATAGAGTACCTCCATCAGGTCTGCTTCCTTGTGATGGAACCCCAGGGTCCCTGTCACCATGCCACTTGTAGCTATCAGTAATATTTGTATTGCAAAAACCTAGAAGTAGAGTTGATTTTATGCAAATTAGCTGAATTTTCCAGTTCTTGTTTAAAATCCAGTAAACCCATACCTCCTCTGTTAGAAGAGCTAGAGAAATGTATACACACATATACAATGTCAGAGCCAAAGTATATAAATGTTGGTAGCATAAACCTGCTACATTATTAGATTTTAAAAAACTTTTTTTTGCCGAGATTAGGTGATCACACCATGACATTCGTTAATGTGTCAACATTGAAGTTGCTGTTGAAGTGGGTAGGGGAGTGCGCTGGATCTTGTGTATTACATAAATGGGGTGCTGCTGTGGACCAATTTTATACATGTTCAGATGAGTGCAGCCCCCTGGTTACATACACACACATACATACATACATACATACATACCTGTGTACTTGCCTGGTGCCAGTCAGCACAAAATGAAAACAATGTTTAAAAGCAATAAGTCCCTAGAGCGCGATTTTGATCTTTTACTTTTTGAGCAGTTTTATTTGTTATATATTTATATCCTGATGAAAGTTTGGCTATAACTCTCTCATGATTATTAGATCAGTTTTCTTTGTGGGTGTAGTACTCTAATTAAATTCTAAATAGAAATATTCCCTCTTCTCATGCTTTGATTGTGTCACGACATTATAGGTACAGTGTTTTGACTACCTCAACCATTAATGGCTTAGTAAAGGGGACTAAAGTGATCAGAGGGATTTCTGTTTGCAGTATTAGGTGACTTTGGGGTTTTTGGTGACATTTGATGTCGGGGACCATATCAACTCACACATTGCATGAGTACATCAACAACCTGGGATGTCAGCACTAATGCACTCTGGGACACTAGCCATAAGGTGGAGTCTTACCTGAATCCAGCACTGATGTCACTTAGAGCTCGGTTGGTTGGTGATTACCCAGCCTATAGATTCTCACAGTGCCAAAACCTTTTGTGTGTCCATAGGTTGTAAGGGAGATAAATTCCTGTAAAACGTGTACATTCATACAGACAATTTGCTTGTGCGTAAAGTGCCCTGCCCATGAGCTTATTCAGCAGCACTATACAATTTATGGAAGAAATATAAGCCAATAATTTATTTGGCACTTGGTCTAATCACATGAATCTAGTCTCAAGGTAAAGTGGTGAGTTTTGTATATAAATTTCAATTTCAGAGGATAAAACACAGTAGAATTTACCGCCAAAGTACTACTAATAAGACCACCATGATAAAAAGGTAATATTAGCTCAGACCAATACAACAAATACAATACCTCCAATCTGCCATCTTAGGGAGTTATAGTTAATTATTTAGTATTTCCTGAGTTAATGTAATGATTAAATACACCAGGTTATTTGCTACATGTATCAAATTGCAATTAATATTTATTCATTATTGTGGTTGGCAACTGTAGAGTAGCTATTTATTAGAAACAAATGGCAATACACCATAACAATATCACCAACATACACAGTTATATATCATAGTGCCAACAAATTGATAGGATGGGGGATTATGGGCATTTCGAACAATTGGTTTAAATTATGAAATTGCTAACCAAACATTAAGCGCTACAGAATCTAAACCTGAATATATTTATTTTCGTTAAAGCACCACTATAGTGCCAGGAAAACACTCGTTTTCCTGGCACCATAGTGCCCTGAGGGAGCCCCCACCCCCACCATGAGGGTCCCCCTCCCGCTGGGCTCTGGGGAGAAGAAAGGGGTGAAACTTACCTCTTTCTCCAGCGCCGGGCGGGGAGCACTCCTCTTCCTCTCCTCCTCTTACGGCTCAATGCGCATGCGCTGCAAGAGCTGCGCGCGCATTCAGCCAGTCCATAGGAAAGCATTTGCAATGCTTTCCTATGGATGCTGGTGTCTTCTGTGTGAAGATCACATTGACAGCCGCTAGAGGCGCTTGCGTGCTTCTCAATGAGACAGCCACTAGAGACTGGATTAACCCTAATATAAACATAGCAGTTTCTCTGAAACAGCTATGTTTATTTAAAAAATGGTTAACCCTAGCTGGACCTGGCACCCAGACCACTTCATTGAGCTGAAGTGGTCCTTTAAGCTCATTTGTCATTTAATGTCTAATACAATTTTCATTTCTTTTTTTAATAATTATGTAACCAGTCCAACATTCCTGTAAGTTTATGACAGATGAGCTTAATTAACTGAGCAGGGTGCTCTACAACCATTTCACCTACTGCAGCAGTGCAAAACTGCAATCGCTAACAGGTTGCCATTTGATAGGCTTCTTAGGCTCATGTACAAAGCAGTATTCTCCAAATCTAGTGCTATAAGTGAAACTGCTCTCTTTTATGCATACTAACAACTTATCTGTTAAATGTAGATGTAAACTTCTATGGGAAGATAAGACATTTGTATCTACCAGCGGAATTAGTCCAATAAAAAAGGTATGTCTACAGATAAGACATTCTGTTCAGTGCGGACTTATTTGGCTACAAGATATTAATCTTTACTTGAACTGTCTTGCCATTGGGTTGTATTGATTCAATTTCAGAGCAAATTACTTGACAAATATATTTATGGTTACCTTGCTATTAAGAGCTTAATATGAACAGTGTGTCAAACACAGTCTACTGTTTTTATGTTTCATTGCTGGGACCTGGGGTTCTCCTTTGGGACTGGCCTCTCTACTTTGGCTTCCCATGGAAACCCCTTGGCCAGCCCTCATGCTGAGTGCATCTGCAGCACCCTCCTGGGCTTTACCACACTCACACACCCCTAACACCACCCACCCCCCATTCCTACTCTCCCCTTTTACCTGTGGGCCACTCTCCCGCAATGTACGAGCAGTCTCTGTACTGCTTACAGCCCTGGCACAGACCTTTGTTGGCCACCACAGCTCCAACAAAATAATTATTGCAGTTGTCATCCCACATATGTGGACAGGGCAAGGAACCAGAGTACTGGACAGCCTGGGTACTCCTACATGCTGACTGTGCTGCCAGCCCACTCCTTCCATCTTCTCTCCCCTTAGGCTCAGGTGTTTTACCTAAAATGTAGAAGAGTGGTCCTAAGGCTTCTGGCCAATAATGCATGGGGTGACCCCCAAATGACCTCTCCAGGTGCCACCCTGAGCCATGATTGTAACTGAAACATCACACTGAAATCCATGCTCCCTATGGTCTCCAGGCCTTGGCTACCTCTGCCAGTCAGTCAAAGTGGATTCCTTACCCAAAGCCCTTGCTGCCCATGCTCCATCTGCCCCACCAGAATCTGCACTTGGGACACTGGAAGGGGCATGTCCATGGAGTAGAGGGAACCACCTGAGTCAAAGCCTCATGTGCACAGAGCCTGATATCTCCCCCCTGTCAATGAGAGCACACCTGCCAAATTAGTTGCCTAGGCACAGACTGTCAGCCTACTTGGATAAGGACAACTTCTTAGTCTAGCCACACAGCAATGGTCCGGTATGTCAATGAACCCCTCACTGTTATCTAAGTCTCCAGCAGTCAATCAATCCTTCTGTGGTCATAAACAGTCACACTATGACCCTAGCCACCAGAGGAGGGTCAACCACTGATTGTGCACCCTTCAGGCCATCCTCGGCTTGGGTGCTGCATCTGCCACTCTGCAGAATGGGCTCCTCCAGACCACCTTGTGGTGTAATATATATTAATTTGGTAATACACCACACCTTGCAGAATCCTATGCTACTCGCTATACTGCACTTGCCCTGGCCTCCTTATCCAAATGCCCTATCCCATGTTACTGGATAAAGCTTTGACCCATACCCCCAACGTATCTGGATCTCTTTTGGA